AAATAGTATGCAAGGACAAAGAGTGTTTAATATTCCAGCATGTATGTGGGGTCAACACCTATACAAAATGGTGACAGCCCTGAGAGTGGCAGGCTGGCTCCTTTTAAGCACAGCTAAAAGGAGTTGCAGGGTCAGCTACGTAATAGATTAAGCAAGCAGCAGTTACATTAGTATATTTCTAACTGGCTGAGGTTTAGTCTTAGCATTTCTGGACACATCTGTACAAGTTTAGGTGAGTGGGGCTGCTGGGTTTGTCCTTGAGACACTGTGAAGCTGACTTAGACCCTCTGTGTTTGTTCTCTCCCTGGATCCTGAATGTAAGGGCATTGAGTATAAATGGCCCTCTGTTGGAAAAGACACCTGTTTTACCCTTCTCACAAAGCTGCAACTTAAATCAGTTGTAAAAAGTTTAGCCCCTTCACTGCTAGCAAAAGGACAGCAGCCTTAGAGTCAAACACCATGCCATGCTGAAGGACTAAAGGAATGGTTTTTAAAAGTGGATACCAAAGGTGTACATTACAATTATCTGTGAGATCCACAGCTGGGAAAGAGAATTGTTTCACTCCCGAGTTGTTTCTCTTTCCCATTGTATAGTAGTTGTATAGGAAGGAAAAGACCATGCCATCCCAGACTCACAGCAATAAGGGAGTTTACAAAAGCAGAAAGCAGATAGTTAATTCCTCATACCAGGAACACCATTATCCTATTTTCATCTCACCTGAAGCCTGCTAGGTCTCACAAACATCCTAGAGCAAAGGTCAACAGCCCCAAAGGGATGCCTGATACCATATTAAGTTTATTTAGCCATCACAGAGGAGTTGTGTATCAGTTATTACACAGGTCTGAGCACTCTGGGGGAAGTGTTACTAATCAGCTGGGATAGAGCAGGCAGTGACACAGTGCCATCAGATTAGGGCTAGCTGTCACACCCCCACAGCCCTGTTACGGGAGGTTTAGTAAATATGGCCTTGCTGGATGAAGTATGTCACGGGGGGGGGGGGGGGGGGGTGAGCTTTGAGACTGTGTAAGTCTCATCCTCGTTCCAGTTGGCCCTCTGCTTTGTGCTCCCAGCTTCCTGCTTCTGCTGTCATGCCTGTACTTTGCTGCTGTATTTCCCTCTGTGATAGATTCCAAAAGCTGAAACTGTAATCCCAGATTAATTTCCTTATAAATTGCTATTGGTCCTGCTGTTTGGTCATAGCCACTAAAAATAACCAATACAAAGCCATTCTTGAGATACTTTGGCAAAGAATCTGACTACCTTCTGCCTGTGTCCTTAAAACTGAATTAAAAATATTGGGCTAAATAAATAGATTTCAATACTGCAGAACATTGAATCTGTGCCGCAATTATTACTGATTTCCGTTGTGCAGCTCTACAATGAAAACAAGTGGCAGAAAGACATTGAAAACAGAGAGATGGTGTAGAAGAGCAGCAAGTAGGAAGCTTCGTGTTGCAGGAAGGCATGTGCTGGAGCAGAGGCTGCGATGTTCAGGTCAGCATACTTAAGGAGAGGAGGCCCTCAGCTGAGCAAGCAACTTGTGGCAGGAAAAGGAAAGCAGGAAAGCAATACTACACAAAAGCACGTCAGATTCAGGGTTGAGGGTCCATCCCAAGTTGGCAGCGAAACTTGGTAGTGTGTTCCACCTGGTACTAGCTTTTGATGCATGAAAAAAATGCAAGAGTAATGAGTGTTATGGAGTCTCCTTTAATTTCAGAGAGCCTATGGGGCCAATGTGTGGCAGGGCAAGTCCTGGGAGATGTGTTTGTGAGACATTTTCTGATAAACCACTATATACTTTTCCTCTGGGAATCAACTGGTTAATGAAAAATTACAAGAAGGAAATTAGACTTAATATTCACAGCAAGCAGAAGGGGTTGCTTTTAATGTTAAGAGTGTTTGTTATGAACCAAATGTGGTGGCACACACTTTTAACTCCAGCACTGGGGAGGCAGAGGCAGGCAAATGTCTGGGTTCAAGGCCAGCCTGGTTTACAGAGTGAGTTACAGGACAGCCAGGGCTACAAAGAGGAACCCTGTCTTGAACTCTCCTCCCCCAAAAGAGTACATACTTCTGTGGTGATATATTATTTATGATTTATTAAATTTTGCCTGAGGATTCAGAAAGCAAAGTCAGCCACAAACTTAGAGATCAGGCTATGGTGGTACACACCTTTAATCCCAGGACTCAGGATTAAGAAGTAGACAGACAGACAGCTCTGTTAGTTAAAGGCCACACTGAGCTACATGAAATATATCCAGTCCTAAAGAGAAATACTTTATACAAAGATGATCTCTTGGGATCCCATGCCTTTAATTCCAGGACTCGTGAGAGGTATTTAAGAGAGGAACAAGGTTTCAGAGCTGGCATTAATTCTCCAGCCACATTGAGGATAGGAAGGGCTCAGTCTCACAGTGCTGAGGAGAGGCAGCAGTCTGAGGTTTGGTAGAGCCAGGATCGCCTTTCAGTCTGAGGTAGAGTGAGAAGTAGTGCCTGGCTGCCTTGCTCGTCTGATCTTCAGCTTGAAGATACTGCTCTTCCACAGGACCTGAGTTCAATTCCCTGCCCTCATATCAGGTGACAGATCTTTTGGCTTCTGTGGGCACATGTACTCACGTGTATATTCATATACACATACTAATAGATAGTATCTTTTAACAATGTTTCTATCACAGATACTTCTTTGTGAAGTGGATGATGTAATTAATGTAGAAATCCACAGCTCATCACAGTGCTGAGAATAAGTGTCAGTATGACATCTATCACTTTACCCTGAGGCTCAGGGAACATTTCAGGGGCGAGAACAGAAAAATTGTAAGAGCCATAAGTTCCGACCGGAGGGAAACAGTGTCCTCTTTATATGGCAATACTGCTGCATCTGTAAACTTTGAGCTGCTGTGGTTGCCTGTACCAGATCAAGTCAACATTCCAACATGAATTCTAGAGGGGAAGAGTTCATGATCCCCCACACCACACTGAGGAGCTATGACAGACAGTGTGGTTCCCAGTAGGTAAACCATGCTCCAGTGGCTGACCCCACATCCATATCCACAAGTATGTGGGCAGCACAAATTGGAGTCAGTGGATTGTTAGAAAAAAAAAGGACATAAATTTGGGGATGTTAGGGGGTGAAGGTAGATCTGGGAGGCGTTATGGAAAACTGAGGAATTAATATGGTCAAAATACATTGTATGAAATTCTCAAATTATTAACTGCAATATTATTAACAGAGTTGAATGGAAGCAAAGTATTTACAGATACTCCTACTTGTCTTGGAAGGTGCGTTAGTTACTTTTTTGTTACTGTGATAAAGCATCATGACTGAGGCAGTTTGTAGAAGAAAGGATTTACTTGGGCTTTCAGTAATAGAGGGATCTGTCCATCATATGAGGAGGAGCAGGAATTGAGATTATACCCTCAAATGTAAACATGAAGAAGAGGAAGCAAACTGGGAGTAGGTAAGGCCTTATCTCTCAAACCTCCCCAAACATCTCTGCCAACTGGGGACCCAGTGTTCAAATGCATGAGACCATATGGGGTATTTCTGATCCAAACTACCACATATGGCACAATTAGTTTTCATAACAGAGGTGGAAACTGATCCTAAAGGCTTCGAAGTAGTCTGCAGTTCACAGGACAGGTGACAACACAGAATTGTATGGCCCCAAAAGTTAAGTGCCCCATTTTAACCTACACTTCTCTATCCAAGAACTGGTGTTCATAATGTATTTGTTTGGCCATTTTCATGATGATTAAATGAGATAATTTGCCTAAGATACTTAGTGGATTTATATAAATAGTGCTTAGTTTAGTAAATCATCTACATCTTGATCTGTATATTTAGTCTAGATCAGAAGAAATGCTATCTGTATGCTATGTGTAGACATGCAGTCAGGGAAACCTACTTGCCTCTTTCCTTCATTTGGTGAAAACTTATAAAGAATAACTAAAATAATGAATGGACTAGTAGTCCTTTTTGATTATAAAGTCAAAGAAGATAATACATAGTTAGGAGACTGCTAATGTATCCCTGGGTGGCCTTGAACTAACAGAGATCTGTCTGCCTTTATCTCCTGAGTCCTGTGATTAAAGGTACCACCAACTCCTAGTTTCTGGCTGCTACAATCAGTGGTGTGTGCCTGGCTTCTATGGCTTGTGACTGTCTTTGCTTTCTGAATCCTCAGGCAAGCTCTAATATTTCATAAATAATAAATCACCACAGGGTCTCACCATGTAGCTGAAACCACCACTTTGTATGTGTAGCCCAGGATAGCCTTAAATTAAAGATCTTCTTGCCTCAGCTTTCCGAAGATAGATATTGATTGATGTCTCATCTCCGGCTCTCCTCCTTTTCTCTCTCCCTACCTTTTTTTAAAAAAATGGTGTTTTAAAAAGATAGGTTTTTTTTTTTTTGTATCCTTGGCTGTCCTAGAACTCTGTTTTGTAGATCAGGTTGGCCTTGAACTCAATGGAGATTCACCCGCCTCTGTCTCTCAAGTGTTGGGATAAAGACGTGTGCCAGCACTGCCTGGCTCCCCTCTCCCTTTTAACTCCCTGTTTTAACCTTACACGGTTGTGCTCCCCTTGTCTTTAGAGTTTAGTCTTCTCTGTTTAGAAAGAGCTTGGGAACTTAACATTAAGGAAATAGAAAAGATTGTCTAGGTCAAAACATTGGTAATTTGAAGATAAAAGTGATGTCACCATTATGGGTTATTTACACAATAACAAATGAGTCTCTGCCATTTGTCAAATCTTCACTTTGTGATTCTATTATTTATTTATTTATTTATTTATTTAATTTCCAGACAGGGTTTCTCTGTGTAGGCCTGCCTGTCGTGGAACATATTTTTTTATTTTTGTTTTTATTTATGTATTTATTTAGGTTATTAAGTTCACTTTGTGATTCTATTATTGAACACTGGAGTAAACTCAAAAAGCCTGAACATATATGGTAGCAATAAACCCACTTGTATTAATAATTTTGTTTTAATTTTTCAAGGCAAATGCAATAGGCCGGAGTGCTAAAACTGTCCGGGAATTTCTAGAAAAGAATTACACAGAAGATGCTATTTCTAATGACAATGAAGCTATCAAGCTAGCAATAAAAGCGTTGCTAGAAGTAAGTGACCTTGTGAGTTGTGTTCTGAGAATATGCTTTTAGTTTCCTTATCTTGTTTTGTTCATTAAACATAGAGTTTTCAGGGGTAGTATTGAAGAATCAAACCCTGGGCTGCACACACATACCAGGTACACACTACTACTGAGCTGAACTCGAGCCACCTGAAGAAGTTCTGATGTGTGCTTGCTCTATACTAGGTTGTCCAGTCTGGTGGGAAGAACATTGAACTGGCTATCATAAGAAGAGATCAACCTTTGAAGGTAAATTATTGATCAAAGTAGAAAATATTTCTAGCATAGAGTGATAGATGTTAAAGTGCTGTTGGGACCTGTGAATTGCCATTGCAAGCATGATAAATCAGTTGACAGCACAGTGATTTCCTTTTGGGCGGAGTTGCTAATCTCTTATTGCAAGCAGGTGCTTACTTTCTTTGTGAAGACTTAGAAGGAATGAGAGCTCCATATAGATCTACCCATTTAGTATCCATACCTGTAAGTAGGAACCCTTACAGTCTGCCCACTCAGAGAGCAGTTGGTTTTCTTGTTCCCACCGGTATGTAAGATGAACCTCCACTCTTTCTGACCACTGATGTTTTTTATCCCTTGTTCTGAGGGTCTAACCTAGGTCTTGTGCATGGTAAGTGCTGTACCACTGAGCTACACACCTGTCTTGTGTGCTGGTTTTTTCATCTGTTGTCCCTACATTTCACTTGAAAATGCCTTGAGCCTCTTTCACATTTTAATTTTAATCCCTAGTATCATAACCTTTCCATGTTTCTTGGCAACAGTCCTAACATTGCTTGTATGTCTTTGTTCAACCATTATGAGTTACACTCAGAACAACTTGTCAGATCATTATGCTGGAGGACTCAGTGGCTAAAGAGCACTTGTTATGTGCTTTCCTATTGTCCCTGAGGCAGAATTGTTAGCAGTCTAGTTTGTCAATAGTTCTCCATACAGAATGTACGAAACCTCCAAAAACACGGGAAATTGTCCTAGAATATGCTTAAGAAGATCACTTTTATATATGCTTTCCTTTGGGTTTAAGCAAAGTATTTTCAGAAGAAATTTGTGCCAAATTCAGTGCTGTGCAGAACAATAAGGGTGTGTGTTTTACCACTTTTCCAACAGCAGGCACAAGATGATAGGACAGCAGCAAAGTTTCAATAAATAAGAGGAATGGGGACAGGACCTTGGAGTCTTTCCCTGCATAGCCCCACAGAAAAAAACAGTGTAAGCACAGGCTATGGAGATGGGTAGTGGGTTCATCTTTCACCTTTTCTGACAAGGCTTTAGGGGCAGACACACCAAGATCAGAGGGTCCCAGAAGCTACAAAAGTCAGGATTATTTCCTTTCTTTATTTCTTTCTTTCCTTCTTTCTTTCTTTCTTTCTTTTTTTTTTTTTTTTT